GTCCGGAGCCTGTGCTCCGCAGCGGGAGAGGCCACAACAGTGAGAGGCCTGCGTACCGCAAAAAAAAAAAAAAAAAAGAACTGTCTGTATATTTTGTTGCTGGGATGGGGGAGGGGATGGTAGATACATTCCTTTATTTCTCATCCAAGTTTGGAACCGGTTCAGATAGAGATCTGCATATCAGCTCTATAATTGATGAGGCCAAATTGGGGGACTCCGTGTCCACAAAGAGCCTGCTCATACTTACCCATGAACTAAACTTGCCTGCCCCCAACACAGACATAGACGTGGCCCCAGTCACAGGCTTCTACCATGGGGACACCCCCAAAACACATTGAGAGAAGTGGCAAGGGGGCCCAGATTTGATGGGGAGGGTTAGGGTGGGGTGGGAGGATGGGAGGGTGTCTGGAACTCGTACATTTGAGCAAGGAGAGTTTCATAAAAAGCCAATAAAGCTACAAAAGGTATAAACGAGAATATATGTTTAGAATGAGAGAGGAGAGAAGAAAAAATATTTTTAGAACCTGATGAATTCCACAAAATCACAAATACAAAAATATAATTTTTTAAGTCAATGAATTGCCTAACCCACTTCTGTAATACTTTGTTCTAACATTTCTCCACTCACTGTTGTGTGCATTGGATGGCTAGATTTCCATGGACCGGTTTCTGGCTCTGCACACTTGCCTCAGTGCTCCCTCTCCTCGTTTCTGGGCACACTTCCGGTCTGGGCGCACTTCTGGTGCCAGGTGCCACGGGATGCATTTGCGTCGTGTCCCCTGGCCTGCGCTCCGTGTCACGATGCAGAGGAGTTGGCACAGGGGGTGGCCATTTGTGCCTGGGCTGGATGGAATTACGTCCACTGGACACATGTCCATCCCCACTGAAGCCAACTCAGTCTGACCTAACCCAGATCACAGATACGCCCATGGCCTCCCAGTGTCACCTGACGAGCATCACTAACTTCGTGGTAAATTTGCATCCAAGGAAGTGTGTCCTGAGGCCGGTCATCTCCGTGGAGGAAGGGAGCCACTTAGCACTCTCAGTTCTGAAAAATCAGGTGGTTTCCCTCTGATGGGGAAGAATGAGTGAGACAGAGGCCAAGAGAGCCTCCACATTTCTCCCCCAGAGAGCGGACACCTCTCTCTGGGGGACATGAGGAGTGGGAGATGAGCATTCTCTACTCCCTGCAAAATGCTTCCTTTATAGCACTTAGCATGGTGTGTAATTAGATGCTTTGGGTAATAATTTGGTTAATATCTGACCTTCCCCCTGGAATATATACCCATTGCTTTCCCGTACTAGGACGATGCCTAGTACTAAATAGGCACTCCTCGTACACTGGTGGAAGGAAAAATGTAGGGAAGGAGGGAGGAGGGAAATTTCATTTTGGTAGAAGCCCTTTTTGTTCAGGAATCTTCTTGCTCTCTTGCTCCATGAATTGACGTCACTGAAGGAAAACTTGAAGCCAATGACACCAAATGTACTGGCATTTACTGGGACACCAGACCCAACTTACACTGCATGGATTGAAAGCTCACTGGCTTCATGTTGGTAGCTTGAAATTGGCTACAGTGAGAGTATTGGCACCATAGAAGTTAGCAGACACTACAAACTGGGGCTCCCACCCCAGCCCAGCCAAGCTCAGTGTCCAATGTTTATTTAGCAGTGTACCTCAGGACCACTGGGTTAGAAGACCAGGCACTATGGTCACCCTGGTCTACAACCAAGGCTCTGCTGCAGCTTAATGAGGGAAAGGATGGTCTTTTCAATAAATGGCACTGGGTCGATTGGATTCTATATGGGAAAAAAGCAAGCCTTGAGCCCTATTTTACACTGTGTACAAAGATAAATGAGAGATGGGTCATAGATCTAAATGTGAAAGATAAAACTTCTAGAAGGAAACTCAGAAGACTATTGTGGTAGCAGAGTGGTACTCCCTCCCCAAGACTTCCACATCCTAATTCCTGGAAACTGTGACCGTGCTATGCTCTCTGCAAAGGGGAAGTAAGGGTGCAGATGAATGAATAGGAGAATAGATAGCCTTCCCCTAAAGTTCCCCACCTCCTCCTACCATTTCAAGAGATGAATGAAAAGAACGTTACTTAAAAGGAATGCTGCAGGGCTTCCCTGGTGGTGCAGTGGTTGAGAGTCCGCCTGCCGATACAGGGGATACGGGTTCGTGCCCCAGTCCGGGAAGATCCCACATGCCGCGGAGCGGCTGGGCCCGTGAGCCATGGCCGCTGAGCCTGCGCGTCTGGAGCCT